AAAAGCCTGAACGAAGGCCGTCCAATTCTGATCCACGGCCATAGGAAACACTCGGCCCTGCGTGGCTTTCCACCAGTCATTCGCATTACCTTGAAGCTGGTACACTGCCAGCGTCACTTTCTCTGTTTCAGTGCACCCTAATAGAGCAAAAGCCTTTTCCAACTCCTCGACCCATTTAGAAGCAGCCTCAGGATCCCCTATTCCTTTAAACTTCGATGGTTTTAGCTTCAGAAATTGCTCCACCAACTGATGCATCTGTCTATTCCCAACTACCTGAGCCTGCCCTTGATTGGCTTGATTCCCATTAACAGCAGCAGCTGCTGCGACCTCAGCAGCTGCTGCAATGTTGGCAGCCCTTTCTTGAGCCTGCCTTCCCATCAGATTTCCTATCTCGTGTAATGTCCGAATGACCTCATCAAGCCTTGGGTCTCTCGCTTCTTGGCCCATTGCACTCGACTGCCCTCTTGTCCCTATTCCTCTGCTCATCCTTATGGGTTTCCTCACTACTCACCTACCTGCTATAATTCCATTCAGGAATTAGAGACCTATGCCAAACTATACCAGTCTATGGTCTTAGGCAAAAATCACAATAATCAATCACTCAGTAGGCAGTCAAACACGAGCAGCATGAAGTCTCAACCAAAGAGATATGCGTACTTACCTCGGGTCCTGCCGCACCTGCACTTTACGGATCATTCACAGCAATCACTCAATCATGCAATTCAAACAGTCTGGAGGTACACATAGCACACAAGTCTCCCTATTTAGCTACCCAAGGTCATCGCTCCTTATCACTCCAGACTTCGACCGAGTTGGATCGAGCTGACCTTGCTCTTATACCAAATCAACAGGGGATGTCACGCCTCGAACCCTACGGCACGCGACAACCCTACCGCGATCGAATTTGTGCGACGTCCCAGGATGCGTCGCCGACCCAAAACCCAGAACAGAGAATAATACACATGCGAAAGCAAACCAACACCCGTACATAAATGAAACACGATCAAGGATAGCAACGAACATTACAAATACAAACTTACATTAATGCCAGGGGATTTACAATATCCAATACACAGAGATACACACAAACCAAAATGGGTCAGCGGCCACTAACATAAAAAAGGGGTATGTGGCTCGGGGCGGTCAGGTGTTATCTAAAAGGGCTCATTCAAAAAGTGTCGACCCTAAACCTAACTATGGTCGAGGCTAAACCCTAGGGCAACTAGTCCGGGTCGGATCCCGAGGACTCGGACAACTCGGACCCGGAATCCATCAAATCCACTGGCTCCTCCTCGGAATCATCCTCCGGCTCTGGCTCTAGATCCATCGGCTCCGGCTTGGGATCGAACTCCCACTCCATCGGCTCCTCCTCATCAGGATCGGAATCCATCTCGAAGATGACTGGCCGGGGGTAAAATCCTCCTCGGATACGGCTTCGGGCTGGCCACCTCCCCATCAGCTGACTGTGGATCCCAATGACCTAGCCCATCTATCGGGACATCAAAAGTCCTAAGGGGTCCATAAACGCCGAACGGGTCCCGAAAACACCAACCAAGATACTGATGAGCCTGGAACTGCGGCTCGCCCACGTCGACCCAAACGGTAGTAAAATGTCTAACATAAGTCTCCCCGTTCCCAACGGGGTACTCGATCACCGAATGCTCTATGCGATACGGGATCCCAAAACGTATTGATACGCCGGCCATCCTCAAGTTCGGGGGTCTGAAAAGTGGGGTTTTAACAACAGTGAGAATAAATCTCAGCGAGTAGGCCCCCCTAAACCTAAACTAGACTAACATGCACCTCCAGACAAGCAACTAATCAAACATCAGTCCAGCACTCAAGTGACTTAGGCCCTCGGCCCAAATCAAACATATTATTGACACTGCAGGTTAGGCACATAATACTAATAACACTGAATCCAGCAATGCACATCCACATATCGATTGGCCACGATCACTTGCTATGCACATGCTTACACCAAACCATACGTACTTCGCACACATACCATTGCCATGCACATGCTCATGCTCATTTGTGCACACCTGCACACGTACCAATTTCTCAATTCACTTCCGACCCGCGTAAAACGCATCAGGTCCCACCCGCGTAAAACGCATTAGGTCTATCCTTTCTCAATCAACCTCCGGCCCGCGTTAAATGCATCAGGCTCATGACACAACCCGCGTAAAACGCATCAGGTCCGACCCGCGTAAAACACGTCAGGTCTATCATTTCTCAATCAACCTTCGGCCCGCGTTAAACGCATCAGGCTCATGACACAACCCGCGTAAAAAGCATCAGGTTGGCCATCTTCCGGTAGTCCGGGCATCGTCCTACGTTAAACACCTCAGGACGGGTTCAATACCCCGCGTAACATGCATCAGGGCTTATGTGATCACACATACACATTCCACCAATTATTATCTGAACCCCGCATAAAACGCATCAGGGCAATTTAGGTGATCACATGCTCATGCCAATCGTGCACACTTACATAATGCACATGTTATGCCAACACCCATTATGTACAATGCATGGCCATAACATTCCACATTCGAGCATTCGTAAAATTCACATTGGGCACTCAATTTAACACAATCAAATGCTCAAGTCATGCCACGATATACTCAATTCAGCCACGGCACATAATTAACCCACAAAAATCACACAATCAAGCCATTAAAACTTGCTCGAGTCTAGGGTCCACAATGCCTCTCATCATTCGGCCACAGTAACACCCAATAAGGCATTGCATAATTGATCACAAATCATTTACAATTCAGCCACTTCATGATCAAATCAAAGCACACATGATAATTCACGATTAAACCACAATTTAGCCTAATAAAGTCCAGTTAATCTCACAATGACCAGCCACTAATCAGCCCACTCTAGGCCACTAAATCACCATCAAATCATCACATTAGGCCACCTTAATCACCTCATTACCAGCCACTAATTAACCCCTAAAACACCATAATTAACCCCTAAACCTATCTAGAAATGCACAAGAGCCTAATTAAGGGTTAGGGTTTCCACTTACTAGGTTTTAAGCTCCAAATGTGGCTGAACAAGGGGGAAAGATGGGCTGGATGGTGGCTGGTTCAAGCCGGTTCAGTGGCGACGCCGGCGTCTCCCACGACGGCGACTCGAGGGCGGCGACGGCGACGGTTCGGGGCTGATCCCAAATGGCGAGAGAGAGGGGGTGATGGTGGTGAGGCAGAAATGAGAGAGGGAGAATGGTGAGAGTGGCTGAGGCGGTGGTGAGATGGTCACGGGCCGGCGGCAACGGCGGCACTTGGGCGGCGGCGCATGGCCAAGGGTTGGCCGAACGGTGCTGGTCGGTGGCGCCGAAATGAGAAGGGAAGAGAGAGAGAGATGGTCGAGTGGTGGTGGTGAGGTGAGATGGTGGCGGACGGGCGGTGGTGAATAGCCTCGGCGAGCGGCGGCGGCGTGGCCGCGGTGACGGGCTGCTCCGGCGGGGCTGGCTTCTTTACGTGGCTAAAGGGGAGGAGAGAGTGGAGAGGGAGAGTTGGCGTGAGGGAGAGTTGAGTGGCCAGTGGTGGTGGGAATGAGGGGAGAGAGAGAGAGAGAGAGAGAGAGAGAGAGAGAGAGAGAGAGAGAGAGAGAGAGGGTGATGGGTTTTTGTGAAAATGGGTGAGTGGGGTGGTTGAACCACTCCACTAAAAATTACCCTTCTAACACTCCCACTAAGGCCTAATCCAATGGCCACAATTTAAACATCCATCAAATCCATCTAAGATCAAGGGCCAAGATTGATTTTTACACAAAATATCCAAGGGCAATTTGGGGAATGAGCAAGAGTGATGGGGGCTTTATTGTCCAAGGATTTTCGGCCACTAATAGGGGCTGATTAAGACCATTTTATCCTTCAAAATTCGGAACTAAGGCATGAGGCTTAGGGGCAAAACGGTAATTTTCCACTTTCGATCCAAAATTCCATTTTTTGATCATACCGACCCCAAATATGATTGGCCACACTAATATGACGTTGTCCTTGCAAAATAGTCGCATACGTCCGTAAAATTCGACACTTAAGTCCGGATTCAATTCCACGATCAATTTCGCTCAAATGTGATTTTAGTGTCTCTCACTAACGGGCGGCTATTTAGGGGTTACGCGTATCGACCTAAGGTTACTCGAGTCGTGACGGTCTCGATTTCCAAAAGAACACGTGGATTTATCGCTAGTTCCGAGGGTCGTGATCGTTCGGAATAAGTTTAGGATTGTTTGCCACGCGTACTCTCGGTCGTCCGGAATCACCCGCGATCCGATCGTACGTCGTTGGCCAAACCCAATCCGTCACCCTCCTCGGATCGGCCCACATTGGCTCAAAATATTCCCTCGTCGTTCCTTGGAGTCGGGGCCCGACTCACGGTCGAGTTCTTGGGTCCACATATCATTTTCCTAGTTAGCCATTCCCTATTGGTTAGCATCCCGAGAATGATCAGTTCAGGGCGAGACTTACTAAAACGAAATGAGAAATACATATCCATTTCATTGATCACAAAAGTGGGTCGAATTCAGGATGTCACAGATTTATTCTCATTGTTGTTAAAACCCCACTTTTTGGACCCCCGACCTTGAGGATGGCAGGCGTACCATCACGTTTTGGGATCCCGAACTATATAGACCGTTCGGTAATCGAGTACCCCGGTTGGAACGGGGAGGCATATATTAGATATTATACCATTGTCTGGGTCGATGAGGGCGGGCCACAGCTCAAGGACCATCCTTATCTTGGTTGGTGCTACCGGGACCAGACTGGCTTCTATGGACCCCTTAGGACTTTCAACATCCCGTTCGACGGGCTAGGCCAGTGGGACCCACATCCTACTGATGGGGAGATAGTGAGCCCCGACGCCGTATTCGATGAGGATTCTGACCCCCGGCCAGTCATCATCGAGTCCGATTTGGATTTCGACCCCAAGGAGGAGGAGCCGATAGAGTGAGAGTCCGATCCCGAGCCGGAGCCAATGGAGCTGGAGCCAGAGCCGGAGGATGATCCCGAGGAGGAGCCAATGGAGGCCAAGTCCGAGCCAGAGTCTATGGACTTTGAGTCTGAGTCATCCGATGATTCATCCAAGTCTTCGGGATCCGACCCGGACTGGGTACCATAGGGGTTAGCCTAACCATAGCTAGGGTTTTGCCATGAACATAGTTAGGTAGGGCCGACACTTTTTGGAATGAGCCCTTTTAGATAGATTACCTAACCGCCCCGAGCCACGTACCCCTTTTTGATGTTAGTGGCTTACTGACCCGTTTTGGTTTATGTATATTTCTATTAATGGATATTGTATATTATCTTTATTAATGTAAGTATGTGTTTATGGTATGTGTTGCTACCTTGGTCAGGTTTAATTATGTACTGGTGTATGATTGCTTCCGCATGTGTATTATTCTCTTATTTGGGTTTTGGGTCTGCGACGCATCCTAGGACGTCGCACCAATACGACCAATGAAGGGTGTAACATCCTGAATTCGACCCACTTTCTTGATAAATGAAATGGATATGTATTTCTCATTTCGTTTTAGTAAGTCTCGCCCGGAACTGATCATTCTCGGGATACTGACCGATAGGGAATGGCTAACTAGGAAAACGGTACGCGGACCCAAGAACTCGACCGTGAATCGAGCTTCGATTCCGAGGAACGACGAGGGAATATTTTGGGCCAATGTGGGCCGACCCAAGGAGGGTGATGGATTTGGTTTGGCCAACGACGTACGATAGGATCGCGGGTGATTCCGCACGACCGAGAATACACGTGGCGAACAATCCTGAACTTATTCCGAATGAACGCAACCCCCGAAACTAGCGATAAATCTTCGCGTTCTCTTGGAAATCGAGACCGTCACGACTCGAGTAATCCTAAGTCGATACGCGTAACCCCTAAATAGCCGCCCGTTAGTAAGAGATGCTAAAATCGCATTTGAGCGAAATTGATCGGGAATTGAATCCGGACTTGGGTGTTGAATTTCACGGACGTACGCGGCTATTTGCTAGGACGACGTCGTATTAGTGTAACCAATCATATTTGGGATCGGTATGATCGAAAAATAGAATTTCGGACCGGAAGTGGAAAATTACCATTTTGCCATTGGATCCTAAGCTTTAATTCCGAAAATTGGGGGCTTAATTTTGGTCTAGATCAGCCCCCTAGTGGCCGAAAATCCTTGGACCATAATGCCCCCACCACTCTTGCTCAATCTCCAAAGTGCCCCTAGATATTTTGTGTTAGAACCAATCTTGGCCATTGATCTTGGATGTGAATGATGGGTGCTTGAATTTCAGCCCTTAGATCAATGTGTTAGTGGAGTGGTTAGTTTGGACATTGTGAGTGGAGTGGTTCAACCACTCCCACTCAAGGCTTTGGCTTAAACACTCTCTCAATCTCTCTCTCCTATCATTCTCTCCCTAACCGGCCACTCCCCTCTCATTCTCGCCACTCTCTCACTCTCTCCTTCTCCACCTTGCCGAGTGAAGCAGCTCTGCCGGAGCAGCCCAGCTGCGGCCACGCCGCCGCGGCTCGCCGCCCGCCGGGACCGTACGCCGTCACCATCTCGCTTTACCACCACCACTCGACCATCTCTCTCTCTCTCTCTTCCTTCTCATTTCGGCACCACCACCAGCGCCCACCTTGGCCGTGCATCGCCGTTCGTGCACCACGGCCGCCGGCCGTGACCGCCTCACGTGCGCCGCCGCGCGCCACCTCAGCCGACCTCGCCTTTCCTTCTGCATTTCCGTGACACCACCACCGTCACCAGCAACCCCCCTTAGCGCCGTGATTAGCCATGGGCCGCCAACCCACCGTTCGTCGCCGTGAGAGCCACCGGCATTACTGCTGGTTTTGCCACGAGCCGGTGACCGTCCAACCCGTTCTCCCCCTTGTTCAGCCACTTTTGGAGCTTAAAACCTTGTGAGTGGAAATCCTAACCCTTAATTAGGCTATTGTGCAATTCTAGATAGGTTTAGGGGTTTAATTAGGGTGTTTTAGGGGTTAATTAGTGGATGGTGATTAGGGCTGGTAATGAGGTGATTAAGGTGGCCTAATGTGATGATTTGATGGTGATTTAGTGGCCTAGAGTGGACTGATTAGTGGCTGGTCATTGTGGGATCAATGAATTACCATGTGTGCCTTGATTTGATCATGATGTGGCTAAATTCTAAATGAATTGTGATCAATTATGTGATGCAATGTTAAGTGTTAGTTTGGCCGTGAATTGAGAGGCTTTGTGGGCCATGGACTTGTGCAATTTTAATGGTTTAATTGTGTGATTTACGAGCGCCAATTATGCACCGTGGCTGAATTGATTTAATTGATTAATTGGGCACATTGATATATTAAATTGAGCCTGTGGCTAAGTTAAAAATGAATGCTCGATGTGGAATTTATGAATGCCCGAGTTTCGGATGTTATGGCCATGAGTGGTGCATATTAAGCATTGGCATAACATGTGCATCATGTGAGTGTGCACGATTGGCATGAGCATGTGATCGCCTAAATTGCCCTGATACGTTTTACGCAGGGTTCAGATAATAATTGGTGGAATGTGTACGTGTGATCACATAAGCCCTGATGCGTGTTACGAGGGTATTGAACCCGTCCTAAGACGTTTAACGCCGGACGATACCCGGATTATCGGAAGATGGCCAACCTGAGGCGTCGTTCACGCAGGTTGTGTCATGAGCCTGATGCGTTTAACACGGGCCGGAGATTGATGGGAAAGTGACATACCTGATGCATTTAACGCGGGTCGGACCTGATGCGTTTAACGCGGGTCGGTGATTAAATGAAAAATTGGCTCGTGTGCGAAGTGCATATTAATGAGTATGAGCATGTGCATGGCCAGTGATTATGGCCAATTGAGAATGTGTATGTGCCATAATTGATTTACTCAGTGTTACTATTGTGCCTAACCTGTAGGGTCAATGGTATGTTGATTGGGCCCGAGGGCCTAAGTCGTTTGAATAATGAACTGTATGTTTATGTAGTTGCTTGTTCTAGAGGTGCATGTTAGCCTAGTTTAGGTTTAGGGGGCCTACTCGCTGAGATTTATTCTCATTGTTGTTAAAACCCAACATTTCAGACCTCCGACCTTGAGGATGGCAGGCGTACCAATACATTTTGGGATCCCGTATTGCATAGAGCGTTCGGTGATCGAGTACCCGGTTGGGGATGGGAAGACTTATGTTAGACATTTTACTACCGTTTGGGTCGACGTGGGCGAGTCGCAGTTCCAGGCTCATCAGTATCTCGGTTGGTGTTTTCGGGACCAGTTCGGCATTTATGGACCCCTTAAGACTTTTGATGTTTCGATAGACGGGCTAGGTCATTGGGATCCACAGACAGCTGATGGGGAGGTGGCCAGCCCCAAAGCCGTGTCCGAGGAGGATTCTGACCCCCGACCAGTCATCTTCGAGATAGATTCCGATCCTGAGGAGGATGAGCCGATGGAGTGGGAGTCCGATCCTGAGCCGGAGCTGATGGAACTGGAGCCAGAGCTAGAGGATGATTTCGAGGAGGAGCCTGTGGAGGCCGAGTCCGAGCCAGATTCTATGGATTCTGAGTTCGAGTCGTCTGACGATTCGTCCGAGTCCTCGAAATCCGACCCGGACTGGTTACCCTAAGGTTTAGCCTCGACCATAGTTAGGTTTACGGCCGACACTTTTTGAAAGGAGCCCTTCTTAGGTTTAGTACCCTGACCGACCCGAGCCACATACCCCTTTTTGATGTTAGTGGCTACTGACCCATTTTGGTTTGTATATATCTTTGTGTATTGAATGTTGTAAATCCCCTGGTATTAATGTAAGTTTGTATTTATGATGTCGTTGCTATCCTTGGTCATGTTTCATTTATGTATGGGTGTTTATTTGCTTCCGCATGTGTATTATTCTCTGTTCTGGGTTTTGGGTCGGCAATGCGTCCTGGGACATCGCACAAATTCGACCGCGGTAAGGTTGTCGCGTGCTGTAGGGCTCGGGGCGTGACATCCCCCGTTGATTTGGTATCAGAGCAAGGTCAGCTCGATCCAACTCGGTCGAAGTCTGGAGTGATAAGGAGCGATGACATGGGGTAGCTGAATAGGAAGTCTTGTGTTCTACGTGTACCTCCAGACTGTTTGAATTGCATGATTGAGTGATTGTTGTGAATGACCTGTAAAGTGCAGGTGCGGCAGGACCCAAGGTAAGTACGCATATCTCTTGGGTTGAGACTTCATGCTGCTCGTGTTTGACTGCCTGCTGAGTGATTCATTATTGTGATGTTTGCCTAGGACCATAGACTCGTATAGTTTGGCCTAGGTCTCTAATTCCTGAATGAAATTATAGCAGGTAGGTGAGTAGTGAGAAAACCTGTGAGGATGAGCAGAGGAATGGGGATAAGAGGTCAGTGGAGTGCAATGGGCCAAGAAGCGAGAGACCCAAGGCTTGATGAGGTCATTCGGACACTACAGGAGATAGGAAATCTGATGGGAAGGCAGGCTCAAGAAAGGGCTGCCAATATTGCCCAAGCTGCTGAGGCCGCAGCAGCTGCTGCTGTTAATAGGAATGAGGCCAATCAGGGGCAGGCTCAGGTAGTTGGGAATAGACAGATACATCAGTTGGTGGAGCAATTTTTGAAGCTGAAACCACCGAAGTTTGAAGGAATAGGGGATCCTGAGGCTACTTCTATATGGGTCGACGAGTTGGAAAAGGCTTTTGCTCTATTAAGGTGCACTGAAGCAGAGAAAGTGACGCTAGCAGTGTACCAGGTTCAGGGTAATGCGAATGACTGGTGGAAGGCCACGCAGGGCCAAGTGTTTCCTACGGGCGTGGATTAGAATTGGACGGCCTTCGTTCAGGCTTTTAACGAGAAGTATTTCTTGGTAAGTGCCCGAGAAAGGAAGATGACAGCTTTGCTTAGACTGCGTCAGAACCAGATGACTGTGGATCAGTATGAGGCAAAATTTGCTAGGCTGTCTAAGTCTGCACCAAGGATAGTAGATCATCCTGAGGACAAGGCGCGAAGGTTTCGGGATGGACTGAGAGCCGACATTCGCAGTCAGTTGATACCGGTGAATTTGAGAACTTATGAGGAATTATATGAGAGGGCTCAGGCTATCGAGCAGGATATAACAGATAGGGCCGCCGTATCTGGATCACGATTTGCCCTGGCTAAGGAAAACCGCCGCTTCGGGAAGAAGCCGATGGCGGGAAACAGGCGTTTTGTCCTTCCCGTAAAGAAGAACATCGGGAAGATGAACCACCCACAGAACAGGTTTGGGGCATGTTTCAAGTGCGAGAGCATAGACCACCAGATAAGACATTGCCCTCAACAACATCCAGTAGGACCGCCCATCCAACCACAGCACCCCCGAGCCGGAAATCAGGCAGGAAATCCCCTGCCGGCTATTCAGGGTAGACCGCCAGCGTAAAGAAGGTGTATGCGATGGCGCGAAGGGAGGGTGAGGACACACCAGGCATGGTCACAGGTACGGTCTCTCTCTGTGATCATGCTACGTATGCGTTGTTTGATCCGGGGGCTACCCACTCGTTTATATCAGAGCAATTTGTTAGAATGATTGGAATTGAACCGGTTATGCTTGAGGTTATGCTTTGTGTGACGACCCCATTGAATGATAAGGTGTTAGTCTCGTTAGGGTGTCCTAACTGTAAGATAGTGATTGGGGGTAGAGAGGAAAGGATAGACTTGGCAGTATTGACCATGTTCGATTTTGATGTGATTATCGGAATGGATTGGCTAGTTAAGCAGAAAGCCGTGATGGATTGTAGTAGCAGGGTGATCCAATTCAATCCGATTGGACATCCTAAATTTGAGTTTATGGGAAACCGAAGAGGAACCTCGATCCCTTGGATTTCTTCGCTTGAGGTAACCAAGTTGTTAGATGAGGGTTGTGAAGGGTACTTGGTGAATATGGTTGATCCGACAGTCGCGGAGCCAAAATTGGAAGAGATACCCGTGGTGTGCAATTTTCCCGAAGTCTTTCCTCAGGAATTACCGGGTTTGCCACCCGAAAGAGAAGTGGAGTTCGTAATAGAGTTAGCCCCAGGAACTGAGCCGATCTCAAAGGCACCGTACCGGATGTCCTTGTCAGAATTAAAGGAGTTAAAGGTCCAGATGCAAGAATTATTAGACAAGGGTTTTATCCGCCCAAGTGCGTCTCCTTGGGGAGCGCCGGTATTGTTTGTAAGGAAGAAAGATGGAACCTTGGGGTTGTGTATTGACTACCGGCAGTTGAATCAAGTGACCGTTAAGAATAAGTACCCACTGCCGAGGATTGATGACCTATTCGATCAATTGCAAGGAGCCTCAGTGTTTTCTAAGATCGATCTACAGACGGGGTATCATCAGTTGAGGATTAAGAAAGAGGATATACCTAAGATGGCCTTTAGGATGAGGTATGGGCATTATGAGTTTACAGTGATGCCTTTTGGTTTAACTAATGCCCTAGCTGCCTTTATGGATTTGATGAATCGGGTATTTAAGGAGTTCTTGGATCGGTTTGTCATAGTCTTCATCGATGACATATTGGTATACTCGAAGAGCCCGGAAGAGCATGAGGTGCATTTAAGTGAAGTACTATGGACCTTAAGAGAACACACACTTTACGCCAAGTTCAGTATGTCACACCCCGAACCCTACGGCACGCGACAACCCCTTCGTCGGTCGATTCAGTGCGACGTCCCAGGACGCGTCACCGACCCAAAACCCAAAACAGAGAACAATGCACATGCGGAAGCAACATAACACCCGAACAAATTTAAACCACATGACCAAGGATAGCAATAATTACAACTTGCATTAATAACAGGGATTTATAATATCCATTATAAACAGAACCATACACCAACCAAAATATGGGTCAACAGCCACTAACATCAAAAAGGGGTAGGTGGCTCGGGCGATCAGGCACTAACTCTAAAAGGGCTCTATCAAAAAGTGTCGGCCCTACCTAACCATGGTCAAGAATAAACCCTAAGGTAACCAGTCCAAGTCGGATCCCGAGGACTCGGACGAGTCATCAGACGACTCAAACTCTGAATCCATCGAATTCGGCTCGGACTTGGTGTCCACTGACTCCTCCCCGGAATCATCCTCCAGCTCTAGCTCCTGTTCCATAGGCTCCGGCTCCGGCTCGATGTCGGACTCCCAGTCCATCGGGTCCTCTCCCTCGGACTCGGTATCCATCCCGATGATGACTGGCTGGGCGCCGGAATCCTCCTCGGGCGTGGCAGCGGGGCTCACGATCTCTCCATCGTTGGCCTGCGGATCCGACTGGCCTAGTATGTCGAACGGGACGTCAAAGGTCCTAAGAGATCCATGAGTACCGAACTAGTCCTGGAAACACCGAGCAAGATAAGGATGGGTCCGGAAATATGGCCCGCCCTCGTTGACCCAAACTATAGTGTAGTACCTAACATAAGTCTCCCCGTTCCCTACGGGGCACTCGATCACCGATCTCTCTATGCGATACGAGATCCCAAAACGAAGCGGCGCATCTACCATCTTCAGGGTCGGGGGTCTGAAAAGTGGGGTTTAAACAACAATGAGAATAAATCTCAGCGAGTAGGCCCCCTAATCCTAAACTAGGCTAACATGCACCTCCCTGACAAGTATCAACTAAACACATAATTTAATAATCACCTGACTTAGGCCCTCGGCCCAAATCCAACATATAATTGACCCTGCAGGTTAGGCACATAATAATAATAATACTATGCCCAACAATGCACATACACATATCATTCAATTGGCCACGGTCACATGCCTCGCATATGCACTTTTAACACACTTTCCAAGGTCATGCTCATGCTTGCACAAATTCAATGCACACTTGCACACTTGCACATGTGCCAACTTTCCATTTATTCACTGACCCGCGTAAAACGTATCAGGTCCGACCCGCGTAACACGCATCAGGTCTATCACTTTTCGATCGATCTCCGGCCCACGTAGAACGCATCATGCTCGTGACACAACCCGCGTAAAACGCATTAGGTTGGCCATCTTCCGGTAGTCCGAGCATCGTCCCGCGTAACACGCATTAGGACGAGTTCAATACCTCACGTAAGACACATGAGGGCTTTATGTGATCATACGTACTCATACCACCAATTATTATCTGAACCTCGCGTAAGACGCGTCAGGGCGAGTTTCCCTGAAATTCAAATCGAGGATACCTAATCGGGTTAAACTGGATCACCCTATTACCGCAATCCATTACTGCTTTCTGCCTTACTAGCCAATCCATTCCAATTATCACATCAAAATCAAACATGGCCAGTACTGCCAAGTCAATCCTTTCTTCTCTACCCCCAATCATTATTTTACAGCTAGGACACCCTAACGACACTAATACCTTACCGTTTAATAGGGTCATCACACATAGCACAGTCTCAAGCATAACAGGCTCAATCCCAACCAGTCTAACAAATTGCTCTGATATAAATGAGTGGGTCGCCCCCGGATCAAATAATGCATACGCAGCATGATCACATAGAGAAATCGTACCTGTGACCACGTCCGGCGCGTTCTCAGCCTCTCTACGTGCCATCGCATAAACTCGTCCTTGCGTTGGCGGTCTACCCTGATTAGCTGGTGGAGGATTTCTGGCTTGATTCCCAATTCT